CGAGATCAGAACAAAAGGCAATTTGGGCAGCAGCAGAAGACGCCATCACGTGAGCCTGGCGAGCCAAGTCCTGCAGTTCATGAAGAGCCCCCCACAAGGCAGAATAAGAAATCATATCCATCCCAGTGCTGGGCACGTATGGCGGAAGAACGACAGACGAGTCATAATGGAAATCGCAGAAGTCAAACTCAGACTCGCTGAAAGCAAGCCCTGCCGTTTCCAAGCCGCTCCCTGACCTCGTATGCCCCAAGGGCTCCAAGCGGTATGCGGCGACGGCGCTCTCACCAGAGAGCAGGTAAGCCGGAGGCAAAAACGCCGGGGCATCCGAGCGCAGCACGAAGTCGGTGGAATGGTGGCGGTGGCAGCGAGACTGCTGCCAGCGGCGCGCACGAACAGCAAGATGTGAAGAACACGCACCAGCTACCTCCATGTGCTCGGGCGAACGGTCCAGGTAGACAACGTGTCGCTCCTGCCCAGCACGCCGAAAAAACGTGCGACTATGACGTTAAACGCGGTCGCCCACCAGCGGACGAGCCAGAGTCGCAGCATGGCTGGGATGATGGGCGTTATATTGTAGAACTTCGCACATATAGGAGTGGCGCCGAAGTGCCGAACCTTGCAAAGAAGGGTCCAGTTGTACGTATGTTTCTTTTCCAATAGGCGGACTCTCGCCGCCAAGCAATTGTATTTAGAACGCATAACACTATGACAAGATAGCGCCACTGCCAGTCACGTAGCCCACCAGCAGAGGAATGAAACAGGCGCCAGACAAGAAATACCAGAGAGACCTCAAGCCGCCATGAGCACAGCACGTTGGAGCCAAGATGTTGGGGCAAACAAGGGGAGCGGCTTGAGCCAAAATGGCTACGGAGGAGGAGGAGGAGGAGGAGGAGGAGGAGGAGGATAACGAGGAGGAGTAGGAGGAGGAGAGGGAGGCGGGGGGGGGCGGGGGGAGCGGAGGGAGGCCTCCGGAGGTCTTCAGATGGCCTCGGAGATACCCAGAGGCATCCACATGCCCGAAAAGCAATCCTGGGACTTCAGGGCCTCGAAGAGGAGGAGGAGGGAATGAAGGAGGAGAAGGATGAGGAGGAGAAGGGGGAGGAGGGGCTGCTGCTGCTGCGGAGGAGGAGGAGGAGAAAACGGAGGAGAAGAAACAGGAGACGAGCGTAGAGAATGAGTCGATCCGACCGCGCGAGAATCTAACCGAATACGCCGCCCACAGGGAGGGCAGTACGAGATGGCGAAGTCTCACGAAACTAATGGCATACGTAGCACCCCGCAGATGTGGATAAAAGTGAGGAGGCGGTGGGGACGTCGGCAGTTTGTGACACTCTGGAGAAGCCCGCCGCAGGAGCCGAAATTTTACACATTATACGACGAACCGTGAAACCAATGTGGATCATTCGCGGGTGGGTCGCGGGTGGGTCGCAAAACGGAAATGGGTCGCGGGTGGGTCGCTGTTGGGTCGCGGGTGAGTCGCTGTTGGGTCGCGGGTGGGTCGCGGGTGGGTCACGGGTGGGTCGCGGGATCGGTCGCAGGGTGCATGTAGAGTGGTACTGCCATGGCCCAGGGAAGCCCAATCCACTTCGAAGATATCAACCCGATATATCTGCCAGATGCACAGTAGGCTCGGGAGGGAGCTCGTAAGCTGCATGATCGGTACGGTCACGGCACGAAGCGTCTCCACAACAGGGTAGCGCAGCACTGGCTGGAGGAGAAGGGCGGCCAGGCGGAACGGACCACGCAGGAGCGTCGCACCAGCAGAACATGACGTCAGGAGGTAGTTCATCGGTGGCGGGGTCACCACCACAATCATGCAGATCAACGTGGTCAGGAAGACTGCCGGCACTGGCATCTGGAGGAAGTACATCACTGGCGGGGTCGCCACCGCGTTCATGCAGAGCATCGTTACCATGTTGGAGGGCGACACGGGCGTCATGAGAAACTTCACCAGAGGCGGGGGCGCTACACATTCATTCAGATCAGCTCTTTCAGGCTGGAGGTCGGCTCCAGGAGGTAGTTCATCTATGGCGAAATCGTCATCACGCCCATGCAAACCAACGCTGGCACGGGCACCAAAAGGTGATTCAACAATGTCGGTATCGCCAACATGTTCAGGCACACCTGCGCTTTCAGGAGGAAAGTCGGCACGAGCATCAGGACGAAGTTCGACACAGGCGGGTTCACCACCACAGTCGTGCACATCAGCGCTCTCAGTCTGAAATCGGCACCGTGGGGCTCAGCACTGACGTCGGCACTGGGGCCCAGGACCAGAACGCACAGGAGCGTCGGGGGCAGAAACAACAGCGCCCTGAGACAACGCATGGATCTCGAGGGCACTCCGGCCAGCAGCACGCTCACGCCATGGGGAGGTGGCCAGCGGCGTCACCGAAGCAAGATCCAAGCATAGTCGAGCTAGGCGAACGTGCTCCACAGCAACTGAGGCCTCGGTGATCTCCTCGAGGTGGGATTACCTGTAGCCGTCGCCATTGCAGCAGGCAAGATAAAACATGCATGAACCGCAGTCTGCGGGCCAACGTCGATGACCTTCAATCTGTTGAAATCGAATACCTTGGATAAGCCACGAACGACAGTGCAAGGCCCGACGAGGCGAATCAGCAGCATCACCCTGACCAGCAGCCCCATCACGACGAGCGTCACATACACCAGGAGGAGGAGGAGGAGGAGGAGAAGGAGGAGGAGGAGGAGGAGGAGGGGAGGACGAACGCCACAGGAAGCAACGGCTACATCCCCACGCTGGAAGCATCCAGAATCATCCACCTCACCGCAGACGCGCTCATGAAGAATGGCTTTGTGGAAGGCCTCGTTCAGATAGAAGTCGTCAGGTACGGCAGAAGGCGCAAAGGCAGAGCCATTGCACACATTAGCGACGACGCCAGGGGGGGGGGCACCACAAGTACACGGCGGTGACGAAGAAGGCGACGCAGCACACGAGGCGCACAGGCACGTCGGCGGCGACGAAGACGACGTAGGGGAAGCACCCACGCAAGGCAGCGCAAAGAAAAAAAACAAGTGTCCAGCAAAGGTACCACCAGCCAGGAAAGCGCCTCGCTCATCCTCCGACTCAGTGTGCGCCGGCCCCTTTGGTGTGTTCAGCTTGGGGTCAAATGCAGCGGCACGGCGAAGTGGCGCATCCCGGAGGCACGAGCCTGCAGATACATCCGTTCCCGAGCACGGTCACCGCGAATCCCACCAGCCCTCTGGGCTTAGGTGGTATAGCGCGTTTTTTTCTTCTCTCTTCCCCTCCCCCTACCCCCTCCCCTGGGCTTGGAAAGGGGGGGGACGGAGGCGCCGCAGCGTCCAAGATGGCCCAAGAAGGCTCCAAGAGGGCTTCAAAGTCGCAAGATGGCCTCCAAGATGGCCGATGCTACTCCAAGATGGGTCAAGATAGCCTCCGACATACACCCAAGAGGCCCCACGACAGCCCCAAGACGGATCCAAGTGCCCTCCAAGCTCTCCACGGCGCCCTCCAAGATGACAAAACCCTTCAAAAGCCTAGGGAAAATCAATGTTTTTGGCATTATCGCCTTTTCGTTTCCGATGGGCTTTGGAAACCTCAAGATAGCCCCAAGATGGCCCACAAGAGGCCCAAGAGGGGCCCAAGAAGGCCGAAGACGGCCCAAAGATCGCCCAAGAGGCGCCCAAGAGAGCTCCAAGAGGGCCCCAAGATGCCGTTTGAGAGCCTCCGAAGGCGCGATGTTCATTGAGGGACCTCCTCGTTTTGAGCCATGGGGCCCAAGATGACCCCAAGAGGCCTCCCAGCCTCTCCCCAAAGAGCCTCCACCCCGCCCTGTTTGGCCCAAGATGGTTCCAAGAGAGCCCTAGATAGGCAAATATGGTTTTCAAAATGGCCCAAAATAGCCAAGCATCGCTCAAGATAGCCTCCGACAGACCTCCAAGAAACCTCAAGACAGCCTCAAGATGGCCCAAGATAACCGAGCATGGCTCAAGATAGCCTCCGACAGCCTCTAGCCGAGCATGGCTCAAGATAGCCTCCAAAGATGCCTCAAGAAAAATGGCAATCAATTCTGGATGGGCTGGTGAGGATACTTTTTTGGTCTGCGGCCGCGCGACAACGGTCTGGCGGCGAAGGGCAATGTCTGGGGCGGGCGGCACAAAGCGAATTGGAGACCCCAACCGCCACGTGGCAGGCCGGATCGCACCTGCACAACAAGCGTGCAGTTGCACAGGCACTGAACAAAATGCTTTGCATTCACCAGCAGACGCACCTGAGCTCCGCCCAGTCTACCAAAGTGTACAAGCGGCCGCGAGTGCGAGTGCAAAGGAGTGAGTCGCCCGTGCGGCGCCAAACTCCACAAGCAGCCAACAAGGCTAGCTAAGAAGCACGAGCCCGGGAGACAGGCTGTCGGCGGTGGAAAACAAGAGGCAAAAGACGCGGAAGGCTGAACCACTCAGCGCGCAGCCCTTGAACTCCACCGCTGAGTTGAGGGGGCCAGCGGCACCCATCGCAACGAGTCCGGCGCCTGCGTCGAAAGGCCCGGGGTGGATGCGACGATGCGTAAAACGCGGGCTGTACCAGGCTGCAACACTCAAAGCGAGGCCTTCGGGCACACAACCCCCAGTGCCGGTGGACACCAGCGACTGCCCGAATCTCCACTTCTCGGGCGACCTGCAGTGCACCGTGCAGAGAGTCACTCCAGCGAGCAGGCACCGCGCGAACCGGCGGCGGCGCTCACCATAGCATGCGGGGGGATCCGAGGCGCACGCGGGGCCCCGGCCTAGCATATGGCTCGAGCCAAGATGGCCACGGAGGAGGAGCAGCAGGAGGAGAAGGGACATGAAGACCAGGAGGAGCGGGAATGGGGAGGATGATGCGTGGGGGCAGCTGGGGAGGAGGTGGATGATGAGGGGGCGGGCGGGGTGAGGAGAGGAGGATGGGGAAGGAGGAATGGCACGAGGAAGAGGGCGAGGAGCGAGGAGGATGAGGAGCTGACGCTGGAAGCAACTGAGCCAACCGCCGGCGAACCAATCTTCGCCGCCCTTGCCCTTGCCCTTGCCCTTGCCCTTCATCTCCTCCGCGACAGGGGCCATCGCCGCGGCCTTGCTGTTCGCCTCCGCGCTGGGGGATGCCACGCCCCGCCCGTCCCCAGACCTCCGAAGGATTGCTTCTTCAGACCTGGCGTTAGACGTTCGCTTACCTTCCTGGCTCCCGCCTCGCGGATCTGATCGACTCTCATTCGACTCTAGCTCGACTCGAGTTCGGCTCAGGCTCGGCTCAAGTCGATGGATGTTCGACGACAGCATCGAAGCACGAGTGGAGTGAGTGGCTCCAGAAAGGGCCCCAGGACGAGCACATGACCTCCGGGGGTCACTTGCGGGCCCCGCGGGGCCAGCAAGAAGGGATCCAGGACGAAGCTGCCTGCGCCCAGGGACGGGGTCGAGACTCCTGGGGCCCACGGTCGGAACAGTTGCCCCGTCCACCGTCCTCGAGATTCGAAGATCGAGTCTGCAGGGTGGCTTGGGGCCTTATTGGGAGCTCCGCAGGCCACTGGAGCCTGGAGAGCTCGACGTAGAGCCCTGGGGACCCTCACTGATGGCCCCCCCCCTCATTTCGCTGGACCCCCCCCTCCCCCCCTGGAGCGATCAAATACAGTCGGAGAACTACGGCGGAGTGTCAGGATGCCAGGGCCTGGCGAGGCACCACGCAGCAGTGCGAAACAGGAGAAGGAGGGAGAAGGCACGCGGAACAAAGGAGACAGGTGTGCCCAGCTAGGCCAGATCGTCGTAAATATAGGGGGTCGCAACCTGTGCACCTACACCGATGCTGGGCAACCGATCCTGGGCCCAAGATCGATGCATACGCCCTCGCGGCTTGGCCAGGAAGGCGTATACACCCGACCACGACAAGTTCTGAGAACAAACGACATGTCCTGATATCAGTACTCAAACAACAAAGGCCATGCTCTTTGACCATACAGCCGATGTGATCTGAGAACAAACGACATGTCCTGATACCAGTACTCAAATAACAAACGCCATGCTCTTAGACCATACAGCCGATGTGCTTAAGCAAGACGGTCTTGGCCAACAGCGCCTGAAGTACATATCGGGGAAACCACAGCAAGTTCTGAGATCACAAATTGGCGGGCCTATGGTCAAGTCAGGACACTTCCCCACAACTGAACTGGAGGATCGCCTTTTTAGAGGCCTCCTAGATAGGGTCGGAGTGGATGGGGGCGGAGGTTCGCACCGCATCGCCGACACATCGGCGATGCATCGGCGATGCATCGGTGCTGCACCGGCGATGCATTGTCGACGTCGGCGATACATCGGCAAGGTCAACGCGAAGCCAATCGGGCCCTACATCGAGCCGCGTCGGCGATGCATCGGCGATGCGGTGCGATCCTCCGACCCCATCTGGGAGGGCCGCACTTTTCCTCCGCCGGCCTGCCGCTTGCGGGCCCGCCGCCGTGCGACTTTTGCCGCCCTGCGCCAGCCTTCCGCCGAGGGCGAGGCCGCGTCGAAGGTGAGGCCCGTTCTGGAACTCGTGGGGCCCTCTGCACCATCCGAGACGCGACCCATGGCAGTGAGAGGAGGAGCACGAGGACGAGGAACAGCCTTACGTACCACTCGACTTGTTCCGAAGCATTACTGATTCATTTCGTATTTCTGTAAGGGGTAACAAAAGTGAGCGGAGGGCGAGTCCGTGTAAATTATACGAATTCGCGTGTACCTTTTGGAGGGCGGCGGTGTATAATCTCGCTGGCTCTCGATGGTGATACGCACACCGCGACCCTCCCCTGAGGCCCAGGAACAATCCATTCAAGGGTGTATGTGTGTATATTTTGGTGGCGGGTTATGGGCACTGCTCGGGGCAGCCGGGAACGGACTCGAACTCACCCTCTCTCTCGCGAGGCAGCCTGTGCCCTGTGGCAGCCCAGGCCAGGCTCCACAGCGGCCACCGATGATATGGTTGCGGTGTGGGCTGCGAAGGCCAAAGCTGGCGCCTGAATTTCTCAACGAGGTTCATCCAGCATGACGAGCACAGGGGGGGGAACTATGAAAAGCACCCTGTCTCCCGCAGCTTCACTGTATTCTAGGACAGACGACCACGCCCACGTGCAGGCCTGACACCGAATGTATAAATCATCGCCCGCGGCGCTGCTGCGTGCCCCCCCCCCAGAGCATGTTTTAATCGCCAATGTTCGTTATCGGCGACTCCGCTCCAGCAGCTGGCGCTCAGGTGCTGCCCGCGGGGAACGGGCACGCGGGGCAACATAATGCTGGGCCCTCTCTGCAGCAGCTGTCTCCTCCTCGGCCCGACCAGCAGAAGCGATGGAGCCTCCCCTTTTGGGCCTCCTTCCCCCCTGCCCCCTGCTCCATGCCTCCTCCCTGTCCCCTCCTTCCCCTTGGAGTCTGATAGGCGTTGTTGACCCCTCTCCTCCCCCTCCTCCTCCTCCTCCTCCTCCTCCTCACCCTCCTCCTCCTCCTCCTCCTCTTCCTCCTCCTCTTCAATCTCCCCCATCCATTGTTTCCCCCTCCACCCTGCCCTCTCCTCCGTAGGTATCTCTTCCGTCCCTCCGCCGCCTGAGCCTGATTGGCCTGATCAAAATCGGTAGTGTTGCACTGGTCGCCGCCATGGAGACCCCGACCTCAGAGGGTGAGGTGTTTACCCAGGTCTATGCCGACCCTCAGGGTCACACAAATCAAATGGGTCATATACACAATGACGATGTCCTGCACATCAACGGCAACTGCATTTTTGTTCCTGAGGGGCCGGGTGAAGTTCCGAGTCCTCCGCTGACGGACCGGCTGAACTGCAATCAACTGCGCTGACCTAACTAAACAAACAACACTTTTGACAATACATGTCAACACGACCGCGGGCCCAACCGCAACCGCAACCAAACGACACATTTCAACCCGACCGTGGGCCCAACCGCAAACGCAACCAGGCGACACATTTCAACCCGCCCGATGGCGCAACCGCAACAGCAACCACAACCAAGCGACACATTTCAACCCGCCCGGGGGCGCAACCGGAACCACAACCAAGCGACACGTATCAACTCGCCCGCGGGCGCAACCGCAACCGCAACCAAACGACACATGTCATCCCGCCCGCGGGCGCAACCGCAACCGCAGCCGCAACCAACAAGCACATGTCAGCACGCCCGCGGGCACCACGGCAACCGCAACCTGCGACAAATTTCAAACCCGCCGCAACCGCAACCGCAACCGCAATCAAACGACACAATTCAACTCGCACACAGGCGCAATCACAACCGCAACCAAGCGACACATGTCAACACGCCCCCGGGCGCAACCGCAACCACCCCCGCAACCAAGCGACACATTTCAAACCGCCCGCGGGCGCAACCGCAACCACAACCAGGCGACACATTTCAACACGCCCGCGGGCGCAACCGCCACCACCACCGCAACCAAGCGACACATTGTATCCCGCTCGCGGGCGCAACTACCACTGCAACCCAAACCAAACGGCCCATTTCAACCCGCCCGCGGGCGCAATCGCAACCGCAACCGAAACCAGGCGACACATTTCAACCCGCCCGCGAGCGCAACCGCAACGGCAACGGCAACCGCAACCGCAATCAAACGCCACGTTTCAACCCGGCCGCGGGCTCAAGCGCAACATCAACCACAAACAGGCGACACACTTCAACCAGGACGCGGGCGCAACGGCAACCGCAACCGCACTCTGGCGACACGCTTCAACCCGCCCGCGGGCGCAACCGCCCGTGGAGAAGGAGGTGCAGGAGCAAGAGGAAGAGTATGAGGAGGGAGAGGAAAGGACGGTCAGAAGGAAACGGCAAGAAGGTGGATGCAGGGGTGGTCGTGCTTCAGGGGGGTGCAGGAGCTGGAGGAGGAAATTCAATGGCACAATAGGAAGACGGAGGGCCTGGAGGATGAGAAGGAGGAGGAGGCCGATGAGGAGGACGAGGGGAGCAGGAGGAGGAGGAGGAGGAGGACGCGTTGCCCGCATTTCTCCGCGGGACATTGCAGCGGGGAGTCCAAATCCCACTTTGCTGCCTCTGATTGTTTTCACCAGAAAGTGAGCGTGCTGCGGGAGTGCTCCCACTTTGCCGAGGATGCCCCCGCAACAGCCACGCCTTCATCAACTGGCAATTATTTCAAGCAGTCGAGCTCCCCGGAGCTCATCGATCGGATCAGCGGTTCACCCTCGAGATCTCTGAGAGACGCACCCAGAGAGCCAGCTCGGTCTGACTCTGAGGCTCCTGCTACTCGCAACCTTTCCTATGACAAGAGTAGTGACACCTCACTCTGGACCGAGGCGACATTCCAGAATCTTCCCCCCCTCCTCCACAGGGGGGATCAAAAGGGAGGGACGAGGAGGGGGGCGGCAAGGAGGCAGGCGAGCAGGAGGGGAGGGGGATGACGAAGCCTACGGGAGGAGGCAGAGGAGGACGCGGAGGAGAGGGGGGAGCACACGGCCCGTGCAGTCGTCGGCGCTCGCGGGCCCCGCCTGGGCCAACGCCTCCCCCTTGCTGCAGCCTGGTGGGCGCGCGCGCGGGCGCTGTCGGGAGGGCCCACAGGGGGCCCGCGACAGCCGGATGGCCTTGGCTGCCCATGATCGCATGAGCGCAGGGTCCGCTGCAGAGGGGGAGCAGGCCCTGACATCCTCGAGTCGTGGAGACAAATCACGGCGGAAATTATGCGGCAATCGTCGGTGTGCGGGGACGCGGGGCCCGTCAAATCAAAGAGCGACCGAGGATGGAAAGCTAGTCCCCGGGAGGTCCAGGCCTCTTGGGACCACGTCGCGAAGAACAACACGTATAAAAAAACACAACATCCGATGTCCCGGAATGTTGAGCAACATTGGTGCGTCGTAGCACTGAGAATGCACTTCTCCTGCTGAACCGATTTGTCATGCGACATGGCTTGCGAATGAGCGGGTGAGAATTAAGGATTGGGCGGGCGCATGGTACAACACGGAACAAGCACACACACACACACGGGCTCAAGGATCGCGCAAGTAAATACGCACGATCGCAAGTGAGCGGACGCGCGATACACAACATAACGAGGTCTGCCTCACCACTGATACGAGCACGCACGGACTCGTGAAACGCGCCAAGCGTGTAGCACAGACCGCGCGCACGAGGGAGATCCAGCGATTGTTTCGGGCAGCCTTTGTCGCCCTTGTCTTTTCCTTTTGACCACGGGGAACCCTTCATCCCCGACCATGGCGGCGATCCTGGCAGAAGGACTGGACTGGTGGGAAGGGCTCAAAAAACGAGCGGATGCATAGATCACGGGCCAACGCGGTGCACTACGATGCTTCCTCTGTCGCGTCTCTGGCCCCGCTGCCGTCGAGAGATACAAATGTAGGGCCCGAGTTCGCCAAATTCATCTTACGAATCCAACATGTTCACGAAGTCACTCTGCCTCTGCTTCCAACAGATAGGCCAGCTCACGGTGCTCTGTCTCCAGAGACTATTTCTGCTCTACCGTTCGGGAGTGACTGAAGCAATGACGACGGAGAGACGAAAAGCTGGAAAACGATCACGTACATCGGCGTAGCTCGACGGCGAGGCGCTTAAAGATATCAAGGATACACAATGCTGCGGATTCGAGCAGCGGCGATCCCCACTGCAACATGATCCCGATAGGGACCGCCGCCAATATCCTGTCGACCTTCCCTGCTCACCATTCTGTAAATTCAGACGACTGTAGATGTTTTTTTTTCATCGGCCATCCTCCAGGCCAATGGCGGCCACTGTCGGCTTTCAACCATGGAACGCCCATACTGGGGTCGCCGCCGCCTCGACACAACACTAACCTACCGCATCTGTCTCCAACTAACCCCCCCTCCAGCCTGGAGCGGGGCATTGGAGCAGCGGGCTCACAGGCACATTGTGTCCGCTGACTGCTTGAAAGCACAGGTAGACAGAAAGAGACAGAGAGAATGGGGGACCGTGGAAGAGATACAAAGAGAGAGAGAGAGAGAGACAGAGGGGGACAAGCTAGGTGCGCTCGCGACTCATTTGAAATCCTTTCCTTACCATCCCTTCCCATGGCACTGATGATTCATCATCCCCGGAAGCGTATCATAGCCGACCTGCGACTCCCAGAGTAAGACCACTTCGGGACAGGGCGACGTGCACAGGAGGAGGAGGAGGTGGCGGGTGAGAAGGAGGATGAGCGGGTTGTGCAACAAAAGCATGAGAAGTCACAACTTTTGATACCAGAGGGAGGCAGCCCAGGTTTTTGTTCTTATCATCTTCGGGGGAGAGGCGAGGAATATTCAGAATGTGTGTGAACGATAGAGAGGGAGGGAGGGAGGCAGGGAGGGAGGGATGAAAAAAAAGGAAATGCGACGCAATGACAGCCCGCCTGGCGACAGACCTCCTATTCCCGAGAATGCAGCCGTCCTCCCTCCTCCCCTTGTGGCCGCTCCTCCCGCCCCCCCTCCTCATGATCCTCCTGCCTTAGGTCCCGAAGGCAGAGGGGCAACTCCCTCCCTCACCCCGCGCGGGGACGAGCCATCAGAGCCGCGGGCCCCGCAGTCCTCCGGCGTCTTTACCCGCGCCCTTGCCCTGCGGGGTCGCGCGCGCGCAAACCCGAGGGGGTGGCGGCGCTCACGGTGGGCCCAAGACAGCCGCCCAAAGTGAAAGCGAGGCGGTCGAGAGAGGGGAGCGTCGGACTGAGAAGTGGGGATGGGGGGAGAGCACACGACAAGGCAAGAAGACTCGAGCCCAAACACGTCGCCCCCACTGCGCTGCACCTATAACCTGCAGCACACCGTATGCTGGCATCGGTTTAGCTCTGGGCCTGTCGAAGCAAAAGCCCCTGCTCTCGTAGGTGCGCACGAGTGGGGGGGGAGGAGGTACAGGGAGGAGGGCGGAGAGGGGGAGGTGGGGGAGGGTGGGAGGTGATGGGCTGGGAGGTGCATCGGTAGGAGGAGGAGGAGGAGGAGGAGGAGGAGGAGGAGGGAAAGGAGGGGGGGGAGTATAGGAGTCAGGGCAAGCTAGGAAGAGGTGGCGGATGACCAGGATGGGGGAGGAGCGTGGACACAGACTGATTAGGAGTGGGAGTTTGAGGCGCCGCGGCGCTCGCACGGCTCCAGAGGAATGAGGGCGTTGAGCTGCCGAGGAAGAGGGGCGTCGTGAACACTTGGCCTAGAAGGAATCGAATCGGCATAAGCAGCAGCTTCGGGAGGTCACCGTGGATTTCTTGGGTCCGCGCTGGATACCCATGGAGGCGCCTCATGCGCCGCCTCAGCGCGCTCCGCGCGCCAGGGAGGGGGATCCAGAGCTAACCCCGAGGAATCCGATAGATTGTGCCCATGCCAATCCTTTTTCTCTGAGGAGAAGGCGCCGGTCCACCAGCAACTGGAGGGTGTCCAGCGCCAACCTAGAGGAACAACAATAATACATCAACATGAACTGTTGGAGGCCGGCGCAGACTTCTTGGATCGGCGATGGATCCCCCCTCTCTGGCACGCGGAGCGCGCCAAGGGCGGCAACGGAGGCGCCGCATGGGGGCCCAACGCACATCCAAGAAATCCTCGCGGAGGTCCGAGAGATTGTGTTTATGCGTTGTTTTGTTCCTCGACGACCAGCGCCACTTCAAACAATCCGTGCGGATCTCCAAAAAATGACTCCCAAAACAATGTTTGGACTTCCGGTTTCTGAATCCTCCGGTAAAGAACTTGGGCTGTCTGCCAGTCTGGCGGCTATGTTGTCGCCGCCCCGTCGACGCCCGTTGTCTGGGCCTTCTGCTGGTCTGCTGGCTATGTTGCCGCCGTCGCCGCCCCGTCGCCGCTTCTTCGCTGCATAGATTGCACCATGTAGACTCTCCTTTCCAAAAAAAGAATAGACTCTACCCCCCCTCCCCCGGCGTTATACGCCCCCCTTTCGGGTACGTAAATCATATATGATTATGACCACATGTCCATCCGAAATATGAATTTACACTATCCCAGGGCAACCAGCATCGGTTCCCCTGAGGTTCCCTTCTAAACAACGATACGCGGGGACATCTTTGGTTCAAACATAGCAGTTGTTCACGAATCCCTTGCAAAAAAAGACACGAAGTGCACACGCGCGCGTCGTCGCGCGCATGCCGTGGGGGGCAGCGTTGGCTAACATGTCTATGTTATCTGTTACTCCTCGGTCGCGGGCGACTGGCCGCCGCGCGGTGGGACCCTCGTTGCGGTCCGCGCGGCTTTCGATGGGATCGTGTCGCCGGGCTGGCGCTGGGGCGCTGCTGGCCGCTGGTCGCCGCGGCAAGGGTCGAGAGGCGGGTGTGGACGAATAGTCGGGTCGGCCTCCTCACCCTCTCCTCATCCTCCTCCCCCCTCCTCCTTCTGCCACCACATCTCTCCTCTTCCGTCTCCCTTCCCTCTTCCATTCTCCTCGATCCTCACGTCTCCTCCCCGCTCCTCCCTCCTCCCTCCTCCTCCTCCTCCTCCTCCTCCTCCTCCTCCTCCTCCTCCTCCCTCCTCCTCCTCCTCCTCTTCCGCGTTGGGCTACCCGCTGCGGTTTCTGTGGATGATGCTGCAGCTGTACCAGCAGCCGAGGCGTATTAAGGCTTATGGCAGCCTATCGCGTCCAGTTGTGGAGTTCCAAGGTGTGCCAGCTGGGTGCACGCACGCTACTTACTTGATATGGTTGCTCACTTACCGCGTGTTGCAAAAGGGCCAGCACGGTGGCGCCAACGATCAAACCGCGGTCCCTGGTCGATGACATCGGACTCCAGATGGTCTCTCCCGACCTCGGCGAAGTCAAGAGGCTGCTGCGCATAGCGATGGTGCTCACGGCGGAGGCGAGAGACCTTGGGCTTGTCCTGCAACCAGCCAAGTCGGCGGTGGTGGCGGGATCGGCGCAGGTCCGCCTTGTTGTGCACAGGGTCCAGCAGCGGTTGCCGCGAGCTGTGCCGCAGGCCCGCCACGTGCGCAACCTTGGTCACGAGCTGCACGGGCCGCGCGTGCTTCGAAGGATTGAGAAAAAGCGCGTGCGTGCCATGCGGGAGCGCAAGCACCGACTCCTCCTGATGCGCAAAGCGGTGGGGCGCAAGACCTCTACCATCTGGCGCACAGGTGTTATGTCGTCGGTGGGACACGGCGCTGGCGTGTCGGGGTTGGCCGATGCACCCTTGAGGGAAATGCGTAATTTGACAGGGCCTGAATGGGAGAAGTGACAAACACCATGTGGGCGCCACTGCGTACCTATTCACCAACGCGTCGGACGAGTACGACCCCATCTACCATGCCACCATTGACCTTGTCTTGAACTATGCTGCTTGGGTACGGGATGGGCGCACCTCTCCTAGTCGACTCCAAAGGGCTTGGACGGCGCTCCATGAGCGACCTGTCCCTATCAGTTGGGCCAATGCGAAAGGCCCACTGGCGGCCACCTGGCTAACGCTGCAGCGCCTAGCGTGGGATATGAAGGCCCCGCACGTTTCGCAGGACGACTTCGGCAACCAGTACGACCTCTACAGCGTCTGCCCTGCTGACCTTCGACCGTTCCTTGTGGCAGGTGTGCAGAGGTGGCAGCATGGCCGCCTCACCCGCCACATGTATTCCCATGCGGGCGCTCCCATCTGGCACCGTGGGCTCAGGCATGCGGTCAAAGGGGTCCGGGTCACGCGCCAGTTGGGGGCCTTACAGGCGTTGTGGTCTGACAACGTCCCCACGCCCATCCGCAGGGACATGAAGCTTGGCAGGCCCATGCGCCCTTGTCAGGCTTGTGGGAAGGACCTGGAGCCTAGCGACTGTTGGGGCCATGTTTTCTTGGAGTGTCCGGCGCTGCTGACTCGTCTTCATGCTGCGGCCTTGTGCCCACAGTGCTCGGTGGGGAGTAGCGGGCGTCGACGCGCAACGCTGGGGGGGCAGCTGACGCCTGGCGATACCTCGCAGCAGAAGCGGCATCTGGAGCTGGAGCCGACGTACCATGTCCAAGGCCTCCTCGAGCGTCGGGTTGACGGACCTCCACGCACAACGCTTGGGGGCCAGCGGGCGTCCAGCAGCGCAGTGGAGCAGGAACGGCCTCTGGCGCAGGAGACAACGGACCATGTCCAGGGCCCCCTTGGGAATCTGAACGACCCGACCCTGCCGCAAACCATCTGCGTCAGGCACTCCAACATGATGGAAGATGAGGACGATTTCTTTCCCGGAGTCGGCCATGGTGATGCTGGCGATGCAGACGAACTACCGCCTGACGAGGTGCAGCGCCTCCAGGGGCAGGCAAAGTTGCGCGGGCATTTCGACGCGGAGGCGCTGCCGGCCGCACGTGGTGAGGCACCCTCCCACGCCGCGACTGCGGCGCTGACCGACCTATCCAGCGTGGCGGCAGAGGTGGAGGATACTCTAGATTCCGAGCGCGGCAAGCGCCGGCGACGAGGGCGTGGTCTCTCTGACCTCCCACGCGCATTGGAAGAGGAACGGGATTAGCTTATCCAAGCGGGTCTTGGCTCGGGCATGCCTAACTCCGAGCAGTCCTACCTCGTCTACGGAATGCCAGAACCTCCTGCCTTCCTGCCGCAACCATGCCTGCGGAAGGGCGAGGTTTACTTCTGGGGGGACGCACGCGGCCAGTGGGGTCCCACCTCATACACCGACGGGTCTGGATGCGATTCAGGCGTCCCTGAAACACGACGCTGTGGGCAGGCTGTGGTTCAGCTCGACCCGATATCGCGGCTCGCAGTTAGAGCACGCCATGGGCCCCTGCCGTACCTGGCGCAAACGGTCGGCCGTGCCGAGCGGTATGCTATCAAGGAAGGCCTCTAGACATTCCCCGATCATCAGTGCTTCGTCACCGACCTGCCGGCACTTGCCCAGGAAGGTGAGCGGCGGTGCCCCGAGCTCGAGATGGGGCGCGCCAAACACGCCAGGGCGTGGCGGGACATCTTCGGAGCCAGCCGCAGGCGCACCTTGACGTACCCTCCCAAGTTCCGATGGACGCCCGCTCACAGATCCCTGGATGAGCTGGTCGACGCGGGCCCTTTGGAGCTGCGAGACTGGCTAGGCAACGGATGGGCGGACTACTTTGCGAGATGCGGGGCGGCCTCTCATGCCCTCGCTGGGTCGGTTGCCGAGGCTGTCACGGCGGCCCTCAAGCAGCACCGCAAAGTCCTGCAGTTCATCTCCTGGGCGGCGTTGCAGGTGGCGGTGCGCAAGCGATGGGGGATTGATGAGGAGATCCCCAAGCCCATTGGGGTGGCTAGAAACACGGACCATGTCCTAGCCTTCAATGCGCACCTTGGGCGGTATCGATGCACCTCGTGCGGCGCGGCGGCCACAACTGGGTCCTCGCTCGACTCGCTACGTTCTGGATCACTGCGTGCCTGCCGACCCACGCGCGTGGCTGTGGCCCTCAACGCCGAATATTTCCGCGACTTCGGCGACGGATGGGTCTATTACCGAGACGAGAGGGTCGGCATGGCGCTTGGTGCGGCTGCTGCTTTCGATGGGGACCCGCAGCCCATGCTCCCCGAGACGCTGCCGCAGCACATGGCAGTGACTGAGGAGGCTACTGTCGCCTTTGCCGCGCTGTGGCACGACGTCTTCAAGGGTGGCACCGTGTCCTGCTGCAGGCGCTGCGGTGCCCACTGTGTCGCAGGGGATGTCCCCACCGTGCGGAAGCTCGGCGTGAAGTGCGAGGGGCTCTCGCTTAATGAATCCACTCGTCGCAATCAGCAGGATGCGATTGGGCGGGTCGAGCAGGAGACTTGCGCCTCGAGCGCGCCGACCCCCAGCTGTGCCTGGGCTGCGGGGCTAAGTCATCGGGCCCGTGCTCGCCATGATCCGACCATGTCGGTGATTCGTTACATTTTTGTGCCTGGGTTGTGGCTCGACTCCCTCTACGTTGGCGTCGGCTTCGACCTGCTGGGCGGCTACTTCTTGTCTCTCGGCTTCAATGCGTCTGGTTGTTCCTTGGCACCTGCGTCGTCGGTGTCGACAACAACCTGCTGGGCTACCTCTCGCTGGTGCTCGGCCTCTACCTTGTCGCCTTCTGTTACGGCATCGCGCCGTGAGTCGGCGGCGCCAGGTGGTAGCCCGCCGCGCGCCCGCGGCCGCGGGCGCGCGACGGGAGACCTCGCCTGAGGCGCTGCGTTCCTCCTCCTCCTCCTCCTCCCCCTCCTCCTCTTCCTCCTCCTCCTCCTCCTCCTCCTCCTCCTCGTGCTCCTCGTGCTCCTCCTCCTCCTCCTCCTCCTCCTCCTCCTCCTCCTCCTCCGCCTCCTCCTCCTCCTCCTCCTCCTCTCGTTCGCACGGCCACGAGAAAGGAAAAGAGCCTATAACTTCCACATATTGACAAATATTGTGCGGAGGTTTTTCCTATTTCTCGGCCTCTGCGAGCCTTCGCTGGGCCCTGGGACCGTGTAGAGACGACTCATGATGAGAAGCCTGTCCCGGGCAACAAGTCAAGATTTCCGGGGACCACGTATTTAGAAAAGTACATCCGACTTCTGAAAGGGGTGGTCAATAGAAAGGGAACTTTCGGCGAATCATCTCACCACGCCGCTGGTTTCCCCGCGTCCCCCTGCGCTGGAGGCTCCACTGTATCGAGCAGAGCGCCCGGCAGCAGGGCCGAGACCAGCTGCATGCAGCAATCTCGACACCATAGGGGTTGCGCAGGGGTGGTCCCCGAACGCGGCGTCTATGCGGGCCATGGCGCAGGGCATAGCAGGAGTGGCACTTTCCCGACACCATAGGGGGTGCGCAGGGGGTGGTCCCCGAACGCAGCGTCTATGCGGGCCATGGCGCACGGCATAGCTGGCATGGCACATTCTCGACACCGTAATGGTTGCGCAGGGGGTGGTCCCCGAGCGCGGCGTCTATGCGGGCCATGGCGCAGAGCATAGCAAACGTGGCACTTTCTCAACACCATACGGGGTGCGCAGGGGGTGGTCCCCGAGCGAAGCGACTACGCGGGCCATGGCGCAGAGCATAGTAAGCGTGGCACTTTCTCGACGCCAAAGGGGGTGCGCAGGGAGTGGTCCCCGAGCGCGGCGTCTATGCGGGTCATGGCGCAGGGAATACCCGACACCATAGGGGATGCGCAGGGGGTGGTCCCCGAGCGCGGCGTCTATGCGAACCATGGCGCAGGGAATAGCAGGCGTGGCACTGCCCCGACACCATAGGGGGGGCGCAGGGGGTGGTCCCCGAGCGCGGCGTCTATGCGAACCGTGGCGCAGGGAATAGCAGGCGTGGCACTTTCTCGACACCATAGGGGGTGCGCAGGGGGTGGTTCCCGAGCGCGGCGTCTATGCGGGCCATGGCGCAGAGCATAGCAAGCGTGGCACTTTCTCGACGCCAGAGGGGGTGCGCAAGGAGTGGTCCCCGGCTATCCGTGCCGGTCGTCCACGGCATAGCAGGAGTGGCACTTTCCCGGCGCCATGACCATGCGCAGGGGGTGGGCCCTGAGCGCGGCCGTTATCAGTGCCGGTCGTCCAGGGCATAGCAGGAGTGGCACTTTCCCGACAGCGTAGGGGGTGCGCAAGGTGTGGTCCCTGAGCGCGGTCGCTATCCGTGCCGGTCGTCCAGGGCGCTGCTGTCCGTGACGTTCTTCCAGGGCATAGCAGGCATGGCATATTCTCTACACCACAGGGGGTTCGCACGGGGTGGTCCTTGAGCGCGGCCTCTATCCGTGACGGTGGTGCTCAGGGCACATCGGTACGCAAGCTTGCTATCCGTGCCGGTCGTGCTCAGGGCACAGGGGAACGCTGGCGGAGAAGGCGTGACATATTCTCATAACCTTAGGGGGTCCGCAGGTGGTGGTCTTTGAGCGCGGCCGATATCCGAGCCGGTCGTCCAGGGCGCAACAGGCGTAGCACTTTCTCGACACCATAGGGGGTGCGCAGGGAATGGCCACCAACGTTTTTCTCACATGCTTCACTTCTGCTATCATCACTCCAGCCATAATATAAGTATGTGGGGTTCCTCGGTAGCGAAATTGGTTGTTCGTCCCATCATGTCGTCTTTCGCGTTGAATCCACGTCGAACTCAGGATGAAATCGCGTCGACCCCGCGTCGCAAGAAGAAACCGACGCTTACGGGACAGACAAGGCCCGCCGAAGTTGCAACGTTGCGAGGCGGGGATTTACATACCCACCGCCCGGGGAACAGATGCTCTGGGAGATCGGTTCCTCAGGCGGTGGAGTTCGACCCACTCCAGAAACCCTGCACCCAACAGGTCTTGACGTCCCACTTCTTCCCGCCGCCTCCCGCTGGCCTTCCACCGCCTTCTGCGCAGAAGAAGCTGCCAGCCTCTGGGACCACACGAGGCCGAGGCCCTTTCTGGACCGCCCTTTGTCGGGAGCGGCCAAGAGGGGGGTGTCCAAGAGGGGGGGGGTGCAAATCATGACCGGCGGCATGTGCGCGGCTCAGCGGGGGGGCCAGGGACGTAATGAAATAAGAAGAGGCGCCACGAGATCTGGGGAAATACCATGGCCCACGCCATGAGATCCACCCCCCCCTAGTCATCACCCCCCTCTTTGCCGCCCCCGACTTTGTACAGACCGGTCCCGACAGCCCCCCGCGCAGCCAGAGCTCGGAGACGTGCCCCGTCCGCCTCCTCGCCTCCGGCCTGCGGTGCAGAAGGCCCCCCCTCGCCATCGCTCGGACGTTCATTTTTTGTGTTTTTTTCGGTTTCGTGCGTGTTTTTTTTTTGTTGCTCTTTGGTCGAGGATGGCCCTCGATGGTTCTCGCTGAGGAAAAAATCCACACGTCCAAGCGATGCCAGGCCCCCGGCAGGGCGGCCGGCCTGCACCAGTCCGGGCGAGACGGGGCCGGGCTTCACCGGGCCGTCGGGGTTGGGCGGCAGCTCCTGGCCCCATCAGGAAGGCACCAACTATGCACCAACACCGATCCTGGACAGGATCACCCTGGGCCCAGGATCGGTGTATACGCCCTCCTGCCTTGCGCAAGAAGGCATATACACCGATCCTGGGCCCAGGGTGATCCTGGGCCAGGATCGGTGTTGGTGTATAGTTGGTGCCCTCCGACCCATGCCAGGTGCGCTCCCTCGGAAGAGGGCGAGGGGATGGAGCTGGAGGTCAGAACGATAGCCTTCACCACCCTGAGATCCGAAAGGCGCGACAAAGTCCAAGGTCGTGATCCATCCATCATAAGCCCCACCCTTCTGGGGCATCTCTCGAGCCAGGTCGACCCCTCGATCTGGCAAAGCCGTTTCCAGGAGCACGCAAATCAGAACAAATTGACGTGCCACTTCTAGCTTCCGCAAGCGGACCCGCCGCCGTTTCACGTCCGCTGGCTTCCGCCGAGGGCGAGGACGCGCCGAAAGCGAGGCGCATTTCTGGAACGTCTGTCGTGTGCTCCCAGTGTGCAATGAACATCCATGGGACGCGCTGGCTGTGATGCGAAGCCTCTTCAGCGGTGCGTCGCCGAAAAGCGTAAGGATGCCAGGACATCCAAAGGAAAACTGATCTGTCGCCGCGCCGTTTGCTCTCGACGCGCCCAAAAAGACGCCGCCGACACGACGGCGAACCCACGACAAACCCCTGCGTCCCGCGCCCCAGGTAGACGAGGCCAGCACCGCGGCGAACCCACGGCAAACCCATCGCGCCCGAGGCGGCGTTTGCCCTGGTGCCTGCGGCTCTCCCCGAGACGTAGGGCCGCGCGTCGGAACTAACGGCGTGGCGACATATACGTTGTGGGCAGACCTGTCTATCGAAAAAAGGCCTCGGCCAACCCTCCGGCCAACTCCCCACCCCTCATCTGGCCAACCCTCTGGCCAATCCTCCCGCCCAACCCTGGCTACAAGCGGGGATGATTGGAGAGGCAACACGGGAAGACACAATACCCTTCCGAATATCACATTGCCATATAAACGTAGAAGGCATGGGTCGCGAAACACAGGGCACGAGGGTACCCTTGATTTGGCAGGGTCGACCTACTAAGCAACCTCGACTGTAAGAAAATCCCACCAGCCCTCTGGGCGTAGGTGGTTCCGGGAATTTCCTCTGCCACCCCTCCTTCTTCCCCTTGGGGAGGGGTTTACCCCTCCCCCTAACCCCCTCCCCTGGACTTGGACGGGGGGGGCCGCTGGTAGTTAGAGCGTCCAAAACGGCCTCGGCGAGGAAGCCTAAATCATCGGTTTTACTATGGTTTTGGCCCCATTTTGGCCTCTTGGGGGGGCAGGGCTAATTAATTCCACCCTCTTCTTTGATCGATCGCTTCCAAGATGGCCCCAAAGGGCGCCCAGGAGGCCACAAGAAGTTTCCAAGAGGCCTCCAAGGGGCCCCAAGAGGCCGCCATGAGGCCCCAACCCCAAGAAGCCCCCAAGAGGCTCCCAGGATGGTTCCAAGAGGCCTCCAAGAGGCTCCAAGAGGCCGCCATGAAGCTCCAAGAGACCCCCAAGAGGCCCCAAGAGGCCTCCAACTGGCCCCCAAGAGCCCCCCAAGAGGATCCCAAGCGGCCTCCAGAGGCCCCCCCGAAGCACCCAAGACGCCCAAGAGCCCCCATTGACCGCCAAGAGACCCCCGAGACGCCCGAAGAGGCTTCCAAAAAGCTTCCAAGAGGCATCCGAGCGGCATTCAACCATCCACCCAGCGTCATCATTCTCCTCATCCCTCCTTCGCTCGGTTCCTCGCCACCCCCTCATCTATCCATCCGGCCTCCTCTTCCGCCTTATCCTTTGCACGGATCGGCTGTCCCTCTCGTTGCCCCCCCATTTCCCTGATCTCTTCAACTTGCCTGGACATCGTCTCTGGATGGGCTGGTGGGGATACTTTTTTTTTGATTCGCGGCCCGCAAGGAAAAGTCCAGAGGGCGGTGTGAACGAGGCTGGGACACAGCGCACGGGAAGGCATATAATTAACAGCGCAGCACAAGTGCCGGCCAAGAAGAAGCAGCTGAGCATGTGCCAGCAGCAGAAAATTAACAACGCTGAACATGTGCCAGCGAGGGATGCACATGGGAAGACCAGCCGCTGAGCGTGTGCCAGCGAGGGTGGGGAGGGCGGAAAGGTCGGACCCGCAGGTGGGGCCAGACTGCCAGGCGGAAGGTGCCAAAACCACTCGCTCACTTGGAACGTCGGCCAGACTGTGCGCCGCCGAAGGGGGTTCGGGCCAAAGCCTGGAGATGGCCGACCATAAAGGAGAGCGCCCGCGATGGCCCCTGGTACCAAGGCGGTGTGCGGCTAGCGCATCTCGAAGGCACTCCTGTGACTGTAGCCGACGTCTAACACGAGCGCCAAAACGCTGCCTGACCGACGTCCTTGTCCGCCAATGCCGACAAGCGGCCGACCGTGCTGTCACCACGCCCATGCGCAAGGGGGGTCAGAAGCCGCCGTCCCAACGGGCGACGAAGTGGAAGCCACTGCATGTTGCCGACTCCAAAGGATGGGCACCCGAAATGGCTGAGGCCAAGGTCCGGTGTGTCCCGGCCTGCGTACGTCGCGGGCAAAATGAAAGTGTAAAACGCCGAGAGCGGGCGAAGCGCGTTGAGCGAGCCTTCTCGGAGCAACACGGGCCGACGCAGCGGCCAAACCGACGACGGGATTATTCAGCCGGCCGAACGGGCTAAAGGCCCACGCTAACGCAGGAACTATCTCGGTGGTGGGGGGGTACCTCAACCCCAGGAGGTAAGAACAGTCCGCCCCAGTGGCCCACTGCATCGGTGAAACAGGACCTGTCGCTGTCAGCCGACAGGAGTGGCCGCCTGGTGGTGACCCAGTGGCCCAGGGGCCCACAGCAACTCGTCCTCCTTCGGAAATCGCACCCTGTGGCGACGAGAAAGGGGGTTAGCAGCCGATAGCCGCAGTCAAGAATGTAGAATCGGGGGGTCAGCAGCCGATCGCCGCGGAATGACAGCACGTGGCGACGAGGAATGGGGAGTGCAGCCGATAGCCGCGGAACTGGAGAATGTGGCGAAGGGTTAGGTGAGCGTCCTGGCAGCAGGACATCGTCTGGGGTGGGAATGTCCTAGGGAAGTCCCACGGCACCCGTGCACGGCAATTCCTCCGCCGAGGGGTTCACGCGTTGTCCCGTGCATCTTGGCAGCTTTTGTAGAGACGGCCTCGCCCTAGTCGGGGGGCTCCTGCCAGGCCCTCTGCCGGTCTACCAGCGCGCGAGCTCCCATCCTCGCTGTCGCTTGTCGGCGTATTGCTCGTCACTTTTTGGGGCGGTCCTTTTTCTCCCTGTTCCCCAACGAAGCCCCCCTCCAAGAGCTATCCTGATGGCCCCACCCTTCCCATCGCGGCCTTGGGCGCCATGGGGCTCCAGAGCTGGATGCTCCCGACCAGGTCTTCTCCCTGTCGGTGTACGCTGGCGGGGCGGCTGTGCCGTCTCTGGGTCTGCTCCATGGGTGCTGCGGCGCAGCCCCACTGTATGTGCTGGAGGGCCGGGTCTGCTCATGGTGACTTGCCCTGTCGGGTGGGTCAGGGGGGGTGGGTACCGTCCTTCTGTCGGACCAAGGGTATGGGTTGCTCTTGCTGTCTTGCCCCTTGGTTGCGCTGGCCCTTGCGCTGCGATGTAGTAGGCTGCGATATTTGTCAGCGACCTTTTGCCATTCAACACGGAGATGGTGGTGTCTCACACAGTTGTAGGCGTCGTAGACCGCGGTTTTCCACGCCCGCAGGAATTCTTCGAATCTCTCCCTTGCGTTCCTCCTGGGGTCCGTGTGGATGTCGACCCACGGTAGACCCTGTAGGCTACCTGCCCTGCGCACCCATCCTATCCACGCCCCGTTGAAAGCGCCTCCGAGTGCCCTCTGCAATCTCATGACTTTCTCTTGGGCTGTCTCGTCCCTCTGGGTGTCGGCCTCTTCGATGGGCCTCATGTACATGGGGAGTCCTCCTAGGGGGTCGTTTTGATGCGGAGGTGGGAGTGGCTCAGCCTGTGGGCGCGGCCGTCTCTCTGGGCTGCTGTCCTGCCGGGGGCTGAGCGCCGGGCGGGTCTCGAGCGCTGGGGCTGCGATCTCCTGGATCGACTCCTGATTGCAGTCTGGCCTGCTCCCTTTCCCTCGAAGTTTCCTTTGGTCAGCCCTTTTGTCACGGATTTCTTCCATGTCCTCTCGGAAGCGGGCCGTGGCATAGGGCGTCCAATTGGCAGCTTCCTCTTTGTCGGTGGGGACTGACCACAGCACTGTCCGCATGAAGGGGACGTCTCTGCCACTGGGGCCGCTGATTTCGGCTTCTTCGTCCTGCTGCGGGGGGCTATGGATCATGGAGACTGTCCTCTCTGGATTGTCCTCATCCCAGTCTACCTCGAACGGATTGTCGCCGTTACCGTGGGAGTCCCTATCCGAGGACGGTTCCCCCTTTATCTCCTTCGTCGTTTCTGTGGCCCCTGGGGGCTGTTGACTGAGGTCATCACAGATGGTGTGGCCGCCCGAGGCTGGAGGGCGCTTGTGCCAGGCGGCGGCGGGGGAGTGATCTCTGGCGTCGTTGCTGCTCCGGGCGCTGTGCTCTCCAGCGCTGGTGGGGATACGCGAAGCGTCAAGAATTCGTTCCATCAGATGCAGCAGTCATCCTTTCGGTGCACTCCTGTCGCACCCGAAGACCTCGCCGGAGCTCCTGCTGGTCTCCCCTTGGAAACTGATCGGCCCACACCCTCTGCAGGGCAGGGGGGAGGAGGAGGCCTTGGGGCGTGCCCTTCGCGCGCTCGAGCCGCTTTGCTAAGGAATCTCAGATTTCCGCAGAAAGCTAGGTCCTGGCCGTTGGCCGCGAGTGCGCGAAAGGCACGACCCCGCCCTGGACAAGAAATAGACTCGACCAAGCGAAATTCCGCCTGGCCGCGCTCAGCTGGCCGAGTCCAGCCCGGTCGAGATTGCCCAGGCCAAGCTTAGCTGCTGCCCTCGCCA